AGTGCTCCTGTCTTGTGCGTGCATGTCGCCTGCACCTACTGTGCTACTTCAGGAATGGAGCAGGTCTTGATAGTTGCTTCTTTTTTGGCCCAACCAGACCTAGTTCCCTCGACAGCCTTCCTGACTTCCCCTGAATTCATTTCAGGGACGGGGCATGATGGCACCTTCATTCAAAAAAACTGGACCCGGAGGTTTAGGTGGCTACCACAGGAATATATGGTAGTTACCATCACTTCAGCAAGCACCCCCTAAAAAGAGGAAGTTGTGCTTCGCTATGAGAAGTGGAAACTATTCGTTGAGTGAGTCTTCTCTCTGTGAGGAGATCCTGAGAGCGTTCGGTCATTTCAGTGCTCTCTTTCCTGCAAGATGGGTTGGAGTAGGCTGTTTTCCTCCACCCTCAAAATGATGTTGCCTCTGTTTTCTTGACACACATCATGATGCAGAGGTATGAGTAGCACGTCCTGATCGTCAGGTTCCTGAGGGAACAAGGGAATCTTGCGCCCCTCTTTATCCTCTTGGGCCTTATCTCTGGTGCTACTACACTGCAGAGACCGCCCCTGAGCCACTGCAGGCAGTGAGTTAAAAATTCTGTTTTTAAAGAAACAGTTCTCCTGCTCGCGTGGTCTCTACTAGAGGGTAGGGACTTGCTCGCTTTCGGTCAACGGGTTGTGCCTGGAATTTGGGCTGGCTAGCTCTCACGAGCTGAGACCCCGGCCTGGATATGTGCCCAAGGTTCCTACCTCTCCCTAAAGGTGTGACCAGGTGGTGAGCCTGCAAGCGCTGCCCCGGAGGAGGCAGACCCAGACCTGGCTTTCTCTGTCCGTCCGCTTTATTGCGGTTATACGTGCACAGAACGCAAGCCTTAGGACCTCAGACCAGCTCTTATCTGTTAAGGAAATCAGCAGAGAGGGAAGGCTGTTTCCAAGCGAGGTTGGCCCACTGAATGGTGGCTGCCTTCATCTTGGTGAAAGTCCATAAAAGTGCATCCATCCATCATAAAAGTGCTTCACACAGCCTGGGGGGTTAATAAAGGCCTTCTGAAGTGAAGTGATGCGTTTGTGTAAGAATAAAATCCATATTTAAAACTTTATAAAGTAAAATAACTAGCTTCCAGCCAAACGAACATACGGATTCAACTTAAGTAAAAAACGCAACTTATGCAAGTAATGCGGCGTACTGCTGATATTTACGCTACGCCATGTTGCGCTTTAGGCGTAAGTAGACCACACAGTTCGTTTGGCAGGAAGCTAGAATTTTACTTTGTAACGTTAAATATGAATAATTTTCTTATACAAACTCATCGCTTCGCTTCAGGAGGTCTTTATTAAAACTCTTTTCTTAGCAACAGGAGTTTGATCTTTAAAACACTGTTCAAGATTTATCTAACCCTGTTTAAAAATAATGCTATACTATATATTACATTTGTTTTTGATTTCAGTAATATGTCTTGACCTCAAACAGATAGCATTAATCTGTTTATTTTTAAGTGACACATACTACATTGATTGAAAAAGAAATTCAAATGTGTTTTTTTTCTAATGTTAGTATTATTTTATATAGAATTACATGGTGTATAATTCAGAGGAGAATATTGTTTAGTGTAATGAATTAATCTCAAAATACAAAATTTGAAAGAAAACAAATATATTGATCTGAAATAATTAATTTTAAATTCATTCAGGTTCAATTACCAAACATACAATCGTGATTTAATTTAAAGGGATAGTTCAGCTAAAAATTAAAATTAGCAAGCCCCAAAGGGGCAGAAGCCCTATCGTTTTGCTAAGGACTATTATTAGGGCCCAAGCCCTGAAAGGTCAAAGTCCCTACTGTTTTTCTAACGATTATTATTAGGGCCCAAGCCCTGAAAAGGCAAAGATTTACTCACCCTGAAGCCATCCAAGGTGTATATGACATTCTTCTTTCAGAGGAATACTATCGTAGTTATATAAAAAAATGTCCTGGCTCTTCCAAGTTTTATAATAGGAGTCAATGGGTACATTTTTTTGGAAGTCCATCAAAGAGCATCCATCCGTGATAAAAGTGCTCGAAATGGCTCTAGGGGGTTAATAAAGGCCTTTTGAAGTCAAGCGATGCGTTCGTGTAAGGAAAATATCCATATTTAAAACTTTATCAACTAAAATAACTAGCTTCCGGCAGACGGCTGTGTGCAAGTCGACTTACGCCAAAAGAGTAACCAGTGATGCATATATGACGTAGGATGTAGGAGTAGCGTAAGTTTAGACACCTCTCGCAGTTTAACCCCTTAAGTGTCACGGGCCCACCGGTGGGCCCAAATCCTTTACATTTTTAAAACAGTAATATCCTATACTAAACCTAAACTAATCTTGACAAACTATATATCATTGGAAAGCTTAAAATCTCTAGTTTCCATATTTGGTGATTGATTTTCAAAATAAATTAGAGAGGAGCCGTAATTTATCAATTTGCAACAATAATATTTTCATACTCTTAGACCTTTATTTTGAAATAGTGATGAACATGAAAAATCATGAAAGAAGGGTAGAAACCTCAGTTTGTTTTCATGCCAAGAGTTCAAAAGATAGCATCCATTCAATTATTTAAAAAAAAAAAAGGTCTGATTTTTTTTTTTTTTATATATAAAGAAAAAAATTATATGATGTGGCAGGAAGCTAAAACGCACATGCGTGTTCTTTTTATGTTTCTTAGAGGTTGAAATCATATCAAAATCTGCCAAACTTCTCATATTACTTCTGAATAGGATGTCTACTTCATAAATTGTATGAAAATTGTGGAAATAATGGTTCATATCACTCAAAACACATATGGAAATGGAGGCGCCCTTATATGGGCAGTAATGGAGTCTGGTTGTCATCTAGTGAAAAAGTTTGGTACTGCGCCCAAACAAAATCTTACTGAAAGCTCATTTTTTGAGATATCAACCTAAAATTTGAAACACAACTTGTTCAGATTTTTGGCTTTGATTTTTTTGCAGTTTTAGAGTCGCCCAGGTTTTGAAAATAAATATTTTATATAAAATATGAATAATTAAATTTTTTACATTGTACATTTTCATAAACTCAAACTTCTATAACTTTTTTTCTGTTTCACTTTCTTAATTTATTTCACTTCTACAAAAATCTGCCAAATGTCTTCTTTAAAACAAGACCAATCTTACGTCTATATTCCAAAGCATTCTTGAATTACAACCATTTAAGTTCGAAATGTGCATTTTCATGTATATTCAAAAAAAGGGGGGTGACACTTAAAGGGTTAAACAAACAGGGCTGGGCAACCGCGTTCGTCATTACGTTGTGCGTCAAGGTCAAGTGTTACTCTTTTGGTGTAAGTTGACTTGTGTACGACCATTTGCTGGAAGCTAGTTATTTTAGTCGATAAAGTTTTAAATATGGATATTTCTCTTACACAAGCTTGACTTCAGAAGACCTTTATTAACCCCCGCAGAGCCGTTTCGAGCACTTTTATCACGGATGGATGCGCTTTGATGGACTTCCATAAAAATATACCCATTGCCTTCCATTATAAAAGTTGGAAGAGCCAGGACATTTTTTAATGTAACTCCGATTGTATTCGTCTGAAAGAAGAATGTCATATACACCTAGGATGGCTTCAGGGTGAGTAAATCATGGGCTAATTTTAATTTTTTTTGGTGAACTATCCCTTTAAATCAAACAATGATTTTACAAGATATAAGACACTTCCTCTTTCCCTTTTTTGTCCTTACTTTAATCCCTTATGTAAGATAAACCCTTCACAGGTCTACATTTGGCATGTTTTAACATTATTCTGATGTCTACGAAGTTTGAAGCAAATCGGGTAAAGAATAAGGCCTGGCTGCGGATTCTGACCAGTGTGCAAATTTTCAAGAGTTGCATGTTAAGGACCCCGAATAAATAATAAAATAAGAAGTATCCTAAGGAAAACAATAGGGCCTTTGCCCTTTCAGGGCTTGGGCCCTAATAATAATCCTTAGAAAAACAGTAGGGACTTTGCCCTTTCAGGGCTTGGGCCCTAATAATAGTCCTTAGCAAAACAATAGAGCTTCTGCTCCTTTGGGGCTTGGGCGCTAATAATCGTAATCGCTAAACGGCTTAATAGATCAAAATTCTTTTGATAACTTTTTTGTCAGCTTGGTCTATATAGAGTATCTAAGGTTTAATGTGTACAAACAAAGCTTGGTCAAGTTCTTTTTTAACAAATTAGAATGATGGATAATGATGGATAATGATAATCATAAAAAATATTTACTATTGTTCGGGTTAAAGCCAGGAATCAGAAGAAACAAGAAATTTGATTCTGCCACATAAAGTTTTAGCTAAAACGTAAAGTTGCTTATTATAGCGCCACCTTGTCTGTCCAGGCAGCTCACCAAAAGCCCCTGTGAGTTCTGGAGCTGGAGAAGACTCATAGTCGTCACACTCCTCACTCATTTAAAGGGGATGCACATTGTAGAAGCACCAATTCAAAGACAGATGACAATGCATGGGTGTTTTGCATGCCCCTCTTTGCCACAAGAGGGAGCTATTAATCAGATTATTTATGCTAAAACCAATTTCATATTTAAATGTAAGTTATCTAAAAAAAAGTTTTTATTGACAAATGAGTTAACACCAGTGCTGATGATTCATGCACAAAATCTGTAATATTTAGGTTGTTTTGAGGCAATGTGTTGTTTGATTATATCATTTGTGTAAGTGACTACTGGCTATAAAGTGATTTTAAGATTAAAATCTGATTAAATGAGCTGTGTAGAATTTTTCTTATGCACGTCTGTGAACGAACATTCATTTAATTGTTTATTGTGATTATTTATTTATTTACCATTGTTAATGTGTAATAGCCATGATGCAGAGCAGAAACTAAATCAAAACCCAAATAATTCCTTGAATGAATTCCCTTTTTGGAAGTTTGTTGAACACACAGAGACACATCGAGAGAAAAGTGTTGATTATTCATTTGTTCAGTTGTAAACGTTGTTTCCTTTGTCTACTGTTCAGGTGACAGAGTGATCTGACTTCAGCAGTGTGTCATGAGCACAGAAAAAGAGCGCAGCGTCCTGAGTGATGCAGAGGAGGAGAAGGAGGTGAAGGATGAGAAGACTGGTGTGTCTGAGGAACAGGAGCTGGAGGAGCTGAGGGCTCAGGTACTGCAGCTCCTGCTTGAGCTGGAAGAAGCTCGAGACGCGTCTCAGAAACACGAGGAGGGCTTTCTAGAGCTGCAAGGTGAGACTCCCTGAAAAACACAGTAATGACCTTAAAGTTGCATTTATTATTTACTTTGAGGGCCACTTTTTTTGTGCATAATTTTATGTGAATCATTATGGACATGACTACACCCCCCCCCCCCTCTTTATCTTTCTCTGATCATTTGAAATAAACACAATATTGTTTATAAAGTCATGCCATAAAGTAGCAAAAATAGAGAATGAGTCATTTTTGTGCCTTGGTTTCAATACTTTAAAAAAAAATTTTTTTTTACAGTTTTGAATGAAATGTTTTTAGAATACAATGAATGGTTAAATGTCAAACTTGTAACTTTAAACAATTAAATATTTTATAACAGACTGCATATTTGGTATATAATGGATTATACGACCTAAAATATCTCCATAAAACATATTATACAACATATACAAACCATAAACTCAGAATGTTGATCCTCTAATAATTGTAATGAAATTGGCATTGGGCAAAAGACTAATACTTACAGTTACCTTAATGCACAATGTCCTTAAATTATGTTTCTTAAAGTTATTTGTCAGAGATATAGATAAATGTGGTCTGTCTGTGTATTTTGCTCCATGAGTTGTTTGACTCAATGACAGGCCCAGTAAAATAGTTTCTATATATAGCCCTTTATAGCTCTTTAATGAGTCACCTGCTGTATAGCAGACAGACTCCTGGGACTCTGGTAATGATCTCCCTGTGCGGGGGTCTGTGACTGTGGGCTGTTTGTGTGTAACACGACAGGCATGTGAAATGACAGCTGCATGCTGAGGGAAGATTCCAGACGGGTTGTCCTGACCAGCTCTATAGGGCAGCAGATGCTTTTATTCCGGGATCATCTCCAGTCACCATGCTCTGCTGTTCCTGCTCATTCATGATCGCAGACATTGCATAGATCAGTCTCAACCTCTAAAGTTGTCCTAGAGAGGTTTCAAGTATTTTGAGTTGCACATTTCGTGACTGCATTCTTATACTCAAAACAGAACATATAGTATAAAGACCCACAAATTAGACACTCTGGCCTAATGCTTGAAGTATGGGGAAAGAGGGCAGGGGGATGGGATACTCTCCATGTTTATGTACTGTATGTATATACATTTACATGTATATACAAGTCCCATTTACATTAAGAGGGACAAAGTCTCCCTTGCTGAGTTTTGGGTTGCTATAAAGTCTTTAATTTTACTGTGAGAATTTACTCTCTCTTAAATATTTTCCTTGCACATAAATGTCCATCCATTCCAAACCGCTTGTCCTCTGTAGGGTCGTGGGGATGCTGGAGCCCAAGTTTTTTTTTAGCTGCAGACGAAATATAAATGTAATGGAGATTTTTTATTTCACTACTATTTCTCCTGCTCCGGCTCTTGTTCCTCCATCTCCCGCAACTGTTTATCGCTGTATTGCGGTTCGTACAGGTAGCCGCGAGCATCAGATTTTCGCAACAGATCTTCGAAATCCCCTTCTGCCATTTCAACTTCAAAACTACCTTCCGCCATCGTGATTAGCCTACTATACAAATTTTCTACACAAGAGGCAAGAGCCTGTAGCTTCTACAGAAAGATGGCTGACACTCTCTTTACATTCTGTGAGTGAGATCCCGCCCCATATGGGCGTGGTGAAAACATGCGGAACACTGGCTGCAGTCTTTAGCCTCTGGCACAAAAATCCTCCGATGACGATTAACTGCGCCATCGGAGGATTTATTCCAGACGAAAAATGAATTTTTCTCTCATATGAGGGGGATATGAGGGGGGGGGGGGGGGGAAGCACGGTAATTCGAAAATACTCCTGGTTTTCTACTGATACAAAGCTTAATGCTAAATCCTGAAGTATCCCTTTAAATGACTTTAGGGGGATGTTCCGTAATGGTAATCTTATGGTCACATAACAACGATGTTTATTACGATGACCATTTCGCACGGTAATTCGAAAATACTCCTGGTTTTCTACTGATACAAAGCTTAATGCTAAATCCTGAAGACTTTAGGGGGATGTTCCGTAATGGTAATCTTATGGTCACATAACAACGTTACAAAGAGGACGTAATCAAAACGTTCTCATATGGGTCTAAGTTGGTCATACAATGACGTTCTTTATGTGACTTTAGGGGAACATTCCATATTGGTTATTTTATGGTCACATAGCAACATTACAAAGAGGACATAATAAGGACGTTCCCATATGGTTCTCTGTTGACCATATGAGAACGTTTTGTGACTAACTTAATGAGAACATTCTAATATGGTTCTAAGTTGGTCATAAAAATAACCTCCCTTATAGGACTTTAGGGCGACATTCCATATTGGTTATTTTATGGTCACACAACAACGTTACAAAGAGGACATAATCAGAGCGTTCGCATATGGTTCTAAGTTGGTCATATTATAACGTTCCTTATATGACTTTAGGGGGACGTTCCGTAAGGGTAATCTTATGGTCACACAACAACGGTACAAAGAGGATGTAATCAAAACGTTCTCATATGGGTCTAAGTTGGTCATACAATGACGTTCTTTATGTGACTTTAAGGGAACGTTCCATATTGGTTATTTTATGGTCACATAGCAACATTACAAAGAGGACATAGGACGTTCCCATATGGTTCTCTGTTGACCATATGAGAACGTTTTGTGACTAACTTAATGAGAACATTCTCATATGCATCACGTTTTGTGCGCGGTGACGTGGGACGAACCGAGGTTCAACTTCCGTCAACTTCTGTCACGTTTATCTGGTTTGTCTGCGGGCTGGACCCTTCTCGGACGGACACCTGACGGCGGTCTTTTTCCTGTTTTCTTCACCGACAGCGAGCCAGAAAAAGCCAATGTGATTATCATGTAAAGTTATTTTAATGAACCATTCTCGTGTAGATGGTCAGGCTATATTGGCTTTTTTTTAGATAAACAAGCTAATGTAAGCGCTAGGCCTATTCCAATTTGCTTATTTGAACTCTTGTTTACATAGCCTGCAGGGTCTCCTCACGAAATCTAAGCGGCATGAAGTTCAATGCGAGGGTTTTTAGAATATGTTTGTATTATTTTTGTCTCTTTTCTTTTATTGTCATTTTTTCCTATTATTTGGTAAAGGCTACACCACTTTTCCATGGGAAAAAAGATGTGGTGATCCCGCTATTTGGCTCGTTGATGTAAAACAGTCTGTTACAATTGTTATTATAAAATCAAGAATGCAGACGTTTTAAGCTCAGCAACAATGGCAGCAAAATGTACACAGTATATATATAAAAAAAAAACTCCTGTCACACACACAGAGCCTGCAGATCAGGTTGAAGCGGAGAAGCATCAGCTTCTTATTCTTTAAATATAACAGAAGACCTTAATAGGACAAAAAATAATATTCTAAGTTGGTCCCTAAAAGTTCTGCAGGACGTTCTCAGAATGTTTTGGAAACATTGGATTTGTGAATTAAATATGGTCTTCTAAATGTTCCCAGAATGGCGGACCTTCAGGGAACGTCCTGAATGTTCCCTGAAGGTCCTCCAAATAACGTCCCCAAACCCTTTAAAGAACTCCACATCGTGACTGTCTGGGAACGTTGTGGGAACGTTACCAGGCAACGTCCTTGACACCAGCGGGGACGTTCTCAGAACGTTCTGGGAAGGTAAAATTTCTAGCTGGGAGGCAAGTACCAGAAAATGAAAGTATCTGTATCGGACTCATTCTGAAAAAAGTGGTATCGGTGCATCCCTAATATATATATATATATATATATATATATATATATATATATATATATATATATATATATATATATATATATATATATATATACATACATAATTATGTATAAAAACTATATTACACAAGCAAGAGTGCTGTTGTATCAAATACCCTTCCGGATGAGGTATGAGGTGGCTGACATTTTATATATAATATGTATTTCTCTATCCCTGTTCAGGTCTTCTTGAGGAGGAACGTTTAGCTAGTGCTCATCAGGCAGAGGCCTTCACAAGACAGATCCAGCGTCTGCAAGGTAACATAGACTCTGAATACACAAACCCAAGATAATAGGAGGTTGATTTGAAGTTGCCCCACAGAAATATTTACCTAAAAATATGAATAGTATTGCATTAGTTGACAAAATATCAAAGCAAATGCAGTTTTTATTTAAAATATTTGTAAAGAAGGAGGTGAAAAAAAATGCTGCCACATTTTGACTGAGTTTGGTTCATAAAAGTCATACGTTTCGTATTATCTCCCAACCCCTGTAGCCCAGCTTCGTTCTGTTCAGGAAGAGATGGACAGTCTAGAGGAGGAGAAGGAGAGCGAGCTTCTGGAAGCGCAGGAGGAACTGCGAACAGCACAGGAGGAGGTGCTGGTGCTGCAGCAGGCGGCGGAGGAGGCTGCGGCCGAAAGGGAGAACGACATCGCCAGTCTGCAGGAGGAGCTCTGCCGTTTACGGGCTGAAATCTCACGACTGGAGAACACGGGACAGGAGTATGAGCAGGAGATCGTCACTCTCCGAGCGGAAATAGAGATGAAGAGCCAGTTCCGCCAAAAGCAGAGGAAAGAAGGTGAGAACAAAACACTGGACTAAAAGAGCTCTTAGTCAGATTGTCAGGTTACTACATTTAAGATTTTTCACAATTTTACTTTGATACCAAGTACTAACATAAACAAATGTGAGAACCTTATTATAATGTTTTAAATGAATGACTGAGACATTACAACTAAAACTTAAATGAAAATGGGGAGTTACAATTGAACTGACAAAAACAACTTTTCATGACAACAGTTTAGCTTAAAACTGACTTAAAAAACTGACGGTGTTAAATCCCAGATGTTAAGAAGTTAGTTCACCCAAAAATGAAAATTATCCCATAATTTACTCACCCTCAAGCCATCAGGTGTATATGACTTTCTTCTTTCAGCCAAACACTATTGGAATTATATAAAAAAATATCCTGGCTCTTTATAATATGAATAGAGCCTGAGTTTTTGAAGCTCCAAAAAGCACATCCATCCATCATAAAAGTAATCCATACGACTCCAGGAGGTTAATAAAGGCCTTTTTGTTAGAAAAATACAGGTGGAGCTAGGGGAGCTTACAAAACGAGATTTTTTAAAGAGAAATGTGGGAGGAGCTTGAGTTTGTTGCCTAGCCCTATTTACGCTACTCCTACATCCTACGTCATACGTCGGGTCAGAGGCTCTTCTGCCGAAACTAGACTCGCGTACGGTCGTTACCAGAAGCCAGTGATTATAGTTTATAAAGTTATAAATATGGATATTTTTCTTACAAAAATGCTTCACATCACTTCACTTCAAAAGGCCTTTATTAACCCCCTGGAGCCGTAAGGATTACTTTTATGATGGATGGATGCACTTTTTGGAGCTTCAAAAACTCAGGCTCTATTTACTCCAATACAAAGCTTGGAAGAGTCAGGATTTTTGGAGGATTCAGGATGGCTTGAGGGTGAGTAAATGATGGGATAATTTCCATTTTTGAGTGAACTAACCCTTTAAGTTATTTAATCTTGGTGGAATAGATCTGCTACGAATATGATATGGTTGGAATGGACAAGTATCGACTTGCTACTGCCAATAGATACCCAGACATGCTGCTGTGAGCATGTAAGATATGCTGCTGCTGCATAAATAGACATGCACAAATCCCGTAGCAGATCTAGACATGTGGAGCTGGGGGAGGTGGAGAGTTTCAGAGTGAACACTGAACCAGACTATGTTGAGCAAGCAATGGATAGAGGCCAATCAGCTTGTGCCATGTAGTAAATTATGCGATTGCTAGCAGATTGCATGTAACAGACCTATCAACTAGATATATATTGAAAATTAAAACAATATTCCCAATACTTTTTAAAAATTAACATCTGTCACCAGATAACATGCAATCACTATAGTTATAGTTAGATTAAAATACTAGTTAAATTAAAAAGTTCATGAAAATAAGTTACAATACATACAAACACAACACAGTCACAAATCCAATTTAAAACAGGTTTCAATAGAAAAAAAGGGAAAATATATAAATTGTTTTTTCTTTTCTTAAAAAGCTAATCCCTGGTGGAAAACTAGTTTAATGGTTTTATATAATAATATTGTGTTTTATTATTACAAGCAATAATTAAAATAGCTCTTGGCCAGTTTATAAAACCTGACAGGTGAATAATTAATTACAATTAATGTGGAATACTATTCTGTTATAATTTTAGAAACCTTGCCCCAAAAGCTAGAAATTAGGGTTCTGATAATCTGAAATTTCACAATCAGTTCAATTAATTGTATTTTTTTTTCATGTAATATGTTTATCTTTTTATTTAGACAATGTCTGAAACATCCACCAATGTCCATGTTGACATCATTTTGAAATCAATGCATGATAAATTCACTTAATTTCTAAAGCTGGTTAGCGTCCTGCAGTGATGACCATAAATCACACTAGTTTTAATAAAGGGTGGAACCCTGAAGCATTTCAGAAACGTTTGCAGCACTCAGTGTCCAGCGGGGAAGAGCTCCTACAGAATAGCAGATGGTGTGGGTAATTGTCATTGTTATGTGAAGATGCAGTAAACTCTGACACTGAAGCTTTTGAGAGCCTGGATGACTACATGCATCCCGCTGGATGGAATGATTGTTCCAGTCAATGTAAGGCCAAGAAAGGGGTGAAGAAAAGTACTATGTATTGGTCACAATGTGAGTAAGAGGATTTTGGGGGATGTATTGTAAATAATTGAATTGTTATTTGCAGGTATGGAGTTAGCAGATATAAATACAGTGGTTTCAGGTAAGCATTGTAAACTTACCTCTTTCATAATGTGCAATAAATAATAATAATAATAATAATAATAATAATAATAATAAAAACAACCAACTCACTTCAGTCACTAATACAATTATTGGTTCCTTGACATGCTTTTTTTTGGTGTACTATTTTTTTTAGTACATGCAACATATTTCAGTATCGTTCGTTTGTTCGTTTATTTATTTATTTATACAGCACCTTACAGGCTACACAGTAGTTCCAAAGTGCTGTACATTACAATAGAAAGCAAAAGAACAACAAGACAAAACATAAAAACATCCATGTACTAAAATGCCAAAGAATACAAATAAGATTGTAAGCCATCCATAAAAACATTGAGTTAAGAAAGATTTAACACTCATTGGCAGGTTATTCCACAATCTTGGGCCAGTGACAGAGAAAGCACGATCACCCTTCAATTTGAGACACCCACGAGGAACAGTTAGAAGAAACTTGTTTGATGATCTTAGTATTACGCCTGGACTGTAGGGCTTAATAAGTTTAGCTAAGTATTCTGGCACCATTCCGTGAAGTGATTCAAAAACATATTTAAGAATCTTATATTGTATCCTAAATTGTACTGGTAGTCATATCATCCTAAAAAGGATAACAAGGGAGTAACATGATCCGTTTTCCCAGCATTAATTAACAACCTTGTAGCAGCAGTTTGTACTAGCTGCAAGCGAGCAACGTATGTTTGGCAGGTCCCAAAATTAAATAGAAGAAGCAATTATGAACCACCATTTTTATCTGTCGATCAAATATGATAGATGATAGGTAGGTTGCTTTGTTTAGAAAGTGTCTCTCTACAAATATAAACTAGTATTGTTAATACCCATGCGCTCATAGCGTTCTATTTTCTTGTATTACTTGATCAGGTGATGTGGGTCAATTGATGGATGAATGTAAGAGTCTGAGGGAACAATGTCATGCACTGCAAGATGAAAACACAAGACTGACTCATAGATTGCACATGCTACAAAAGAGGAGGTGAGAAACTACACCTTTTGATACTCAATTGTCTCCAGTTCTGGCATTTTATGTCATCTGGAATTTGTGAAACTTGTACATATGTTGAATGAAAGCATTTATCACAACTTTTTGGAAACTATCGTTGAAATTCTCTTTCCGGCATTGACATAATTCCTATTGAAACTGGAAACTGGGGCCGGACTTACCAGAGTTATTTTTTTAAAGAAATTGCAAACAGCCTTGAGTTTACAGCACAGCCTGGCAAATCCATTCAGAGTTTGGATTAATTGAGGGTGGAGGGAGATTCACATTCCAGTAAGCACTTTATTGGACAAAAGTTTTCTATCAAATCTAACAATCTCATAATTTTTTATTGTATTTTCCAGAAAAGGATATTTATCTGCTAAAAAAAAAAAAAAAAAACTTTAGGAACATAACATTTGAATTTGCGATCAGACGTACTGCAGGGAGCAGCAGTACTGACCACACATTTTTGATGTGTCAATGACGCTCAGGATCAGTTGCGCACCAAAACCTCCGACATAGTCCCATCAGTCATCTCTCTGTACTATCTTCACATGATAAGTTAAGTCTGATGTACTGTAAAGTAACCAGCTACCGCAGCAAGCCTAACCTTTAGGGGCTCCGTAGAATGTGTTACTCATATTCCATGCCTTTCTGTCTAAAAGACATAGATTAGATATCCCAAAATTTTGGATTTGGATTTCATTGGAGCTAGGCAGACCAACCACAACCTAACCATACCGCTAAACATAACTCCATCCATAAGTTCCACAGAGGTGGAGCTGAACTAGGTCAAGCTTCACCTATTACATCCAGAGCTGAACGTCAATAGGCTCTGCAGTGAGCACTACTTGTTCAGATTTGCCTCCATTTAGTTAGCAAGACCCAACTTCCTATGATCCAGCAATTCCAGATGACGAATTCAAGTCCTGCCCTACATTTTTTTTTTTTTATTCCAGAAGCCGGTTCACGTGGATATACATCACAATAGGGAAGAAAAGACTTCCTTTCACTCCTGTATTTATGCATCTTGTTTTGGCTTTTATGTCACAGTTCAGGCAGTTCCTACATATCTCTCAAAGAAGAACAGGAAGAGACAGAAGAGGGAAACTATATGCAGTGTGGAACAGAGATGGAAACCGGAGGTTCTTATATGAGTGTGAATCAAATAGGCTCCAACTGCAGGCTGGTGGATGCAGGTATCCAGAAGAATATATCGTTTGAAGGCAAACCTATCACCCCCACTAGCTGGACAGGAGGTTTTTCAGAGATCCTCTCATTGAGAGATCAACTCAAACAAACAGAAGAGAAGGCCACACACGTGCAGCGAGAGGTACACACCCTGATGTCCTTTTTTTTCCCTTTTTTTTTTATATTAAAGATTTCTTAAGAATATGTTCTCTACATTTTACTTAATTGTGTTTTTTAGTGTGATGGAGTAAAGAATGAACTAGAAAATCTGCGAGAAATGTATGAGACCAGTCAGAAGGAGCGAGCGGAACTGGAGCTAGAGTTACTGCGCTGCAGGGAAGAGATGGAGAGGGCTGCTGACGTAAAAGAGGTACATTGATTATATTAAAGTAGGTGAATATATATATATATATATATATATACTGTATATATGCCATTTTATAACAACTTATAATTCTACATAAATATACACATAAGTAATAGTTTTTAAATCATTTTAATTTCTAAATTATATATATAGGTGACATATATATATATATATACATATATATATATATGTCAGTATACCTGAAAATAAAATTTGAATAATATCTGAATGCAAGAAATTTTATTATATAAATTTATAATCTGGGATATTATTATACTTTGAATAGTAATAGAGATGAACCATCAGGTTTAATGAGGATTAATGTGATGTTAAATTAACAATAAACTGAATTCCACTGTATCCCTACATTTGATGAAGACAGACAAATTGAATAACGTTCCATCCTTCCAGAGCATTTATGAATGTTTCTACAAATATGGATACTTTTAAACAAAAACACACTTTAAACACGCTTTTCATTATTGCACTATTTTTGGCATAACACAGAAGGATGCAACACAGGTAAAATACAAATAACAAGTTTATTTGCAGGTTTGGCAGACAATTGAAGTAAACAGGTGAGAAACTGAGAAATGGGTAGTTGTTGAAGGAATGGCAGTGGATAACAGTCTTATCTGTTGCAGATGCAGATTGTTGGTGATGGTGGACCGGATGGCTGAAGCTGAAGGCAGACAACTGATGTTGATGAGGTGATTAGTGACAGCTGGTTAAGATTGTGGAATGAATGCAGGTGGAGGACCAGGAAGGATTCTGGGAGATTAATTGCTGAAGGTGACCGGGCTGGTGACTTAGGATTGTGACAGTCCTCCCCCACCCCTCCCAGAAGGCGTGACCTCATGCCTAATAGAATCCATCCAGGGAGGGAGGGAGGGCGGGCGTCGGCAGGATGGGTAGCCTCCAGGGTGGCACTGGCGGTGCAGGTAGCGCAGTGGACCATGAAGGATTGGCCTCCATGGCTTTGATACTAGGGCAAATAGGAAATTCGTGAAAAACCTTTCTAGTCGTATTAGGGCAGACAGAAAATTTGGGGACAACCCTCTTGGTCGTATCTGGGAAAACAGGGAACTCGGGAATGACCTCTGTGGTCATATCTAGACAGACAGAAGACTGGGAAACGTCCTTCATAGTCATATCTGGACAAACTGCAAACTTGGGAACGACCTCCCTGGTCGTCTCTGGACAAATTTGAATTACTGGGATGAATACCTCCACTTTGATACAAGTGATAGAGCAGTGTGTGGCCCAAACACACATTATGGCCAACGTCATAACAGGGGGAACAATCATTGGTAGAGGGGTCTCAGAATCCTCTGGGCTTGGAAGTATCTGGCTGGGTTCTGGCATGATTGCCATGTTGGCTGGATTCTGGCGGTAGAGCAGGTACTGGGCTGAGCTCAGGGATGACGGCGAGCACAGGGCTCTGGTCAGGGGCTGGAGCCTTCACCGGAGTGTAATCTGAAGTGGACTCTTTGTCTGGGGAGAATTCTCATATGGACTCAAGGACTGGAGGTAAATTTAGAGGTAACTCACCGGTATGAGTGGGTTCTGATGCTGATTTAGGGGTTAGAGTGGGCTCCAATGTAGATTATTTGGCCGGAACGGGCTCAATACAGAACTCTGAGGCTGGAGCGGACTCATTACTGAATTTTGGGCTGTTTCTTCTTACTCTGCTTCCTCCTTTGAGTTGAGGTTAAATGAGGCGCTGAGGCTTTAGTAGTCCTTGGACTTGGCTCAGACTCAGGAGCAGGCTCATGGGTTGGAGCAGATTCTGCATCTGGAATTATCACTGAATGTCGGGGCTGGAGCAGGCTTGGGACTGAACTCTGGGACTGAAGCGGACTCTGGGATTTCTCTCGCTGGAACAGACTGGGAATTTCTCCCAGTGGAACAGACTGGTTAATTTTTCTCACTGGAACAGACTGGTGAATTTCTCTCACTGGAACAGGCTCAGGAATTTCAAAGACTGGAATGGATTCAGTGATTTCTCTCACTGGAACGGGCTCAGGGATTTCAATTACTGGAACGGATTTGGAAGCGGATTCTGGATGTAGGGACCTGATAGGGGAAGATGTCTTTAGCGCCTTCCGGCCTCAAGGGAATACTGGAGACTCAGGCTTGGTGGGCATGACGGCTGGAGACGCTTGTGTTCGCATGATGAGTGAAGATGTCGAAGGACTTGCGAGGAGTTCGGTGGTGTTTGGTGGCCCAATGGACAAAATCTCTGATGCCAGGATGGCTGGATTGGACTGGAGAGAAAGCGACTGAGTGAAACTGGTGTCTTCAAACTCACCAACATTGAGGGAAGAACCACTTAGCCACAGCACATAATCACTATAGCTCTCAAGGGAACAAGTGGTAGCTGACGCCGCTATCTGCTGTTAAAGATGGTCGTTCAATCCTCTCCAAAACATGATCTTCATGGTACCATCATTCCATGGGACCAAGTTGGAAAGCTCAATAAATTCCTTTACGTAATCCTCAACTGGACTACCATCTGGGAAAATGGAGATTCGCTGGATCACAAGGGGTGAGGAAAAGGCCCATAGTTGGGTCTGGTCTTCTGTCATAAAACAGAAGGATGCAACCCAGGTAATAACCAAATAACAAGTTTAGGTTTGGCAGACAATGGAAATAAGCAGGTGAGAAACTGAGAAATGGGTTGTTGTAGAAGGAATGGCAGTGGATAACAGTCTTATCTGTTGCAGATGCAGAGTGTTGGAGATGGTGGACCGAATGGTAGGGATGGCTGATGCGAAAAACCTACATTTTGACGCTTTGTCAAGATCGCGAAGCGTAGATGTTTCAAAACACATCCTCCTGTTCCGAAGCGTGATTCAAAACACCCATGTCACGTGACTACGGCTAAATGAAGCGTCGGAGCGTTTCACAAGTGTTTCGACAGGTGGCATACCCGCCGAATCTGCGTTTGATTGACAGGGTCGGGAACAGACCAAATCGCACTTCTGTCTCAACCTACTCCCACAAAGTTTAAAATGAAGTTAACGCATCTTCACCTCATGGGTTTTTGTGAGAGGAGAGAGATTTTGAGATAGCGGATGTTTTGCGATATATTGACATTTATGTGATTTGGTCAGTTATATTTAGGCTAGATTTAAATTTACATAGGCTGCATTGACTGATAGGCTACAGACAGTGACAGATAGGATATATATAGTGACACATTAATATATAGGCACATAGATAGACAGATAGATAGGCAGACAGACACATATAGATAGATAGATAGATAGATAGATAGATAGATAGATAGATAGATAGATAGATAGATAGATAGATAGATAGATAGATAGATAGACTGAACAAAATTATAAACGCAACACTTTTGTTTTTGACCCCATTTTTCATGAGCTGAACTCAAAGATCTAAGAATTTTTCTATATACACAAAAGGCCTATTTCTCTCAAATATTGTTCACAAATCTGTCTAAATCTGTGTTAGTGAGCATTTCTCCTTTGCCGAGATAATCCATCCACCTCACAGGTGTAGCATATCAAGATGCTGATTAGACAGCATGATTATTACACAGGTGTGCCTTAGGCTAGCCACAATTAAAGGCCACTCTTAAATGTGCAGTTTTATCACACAGGGAGCGTGAAATTGGCATGCTGACTGCAGGTATGTCCACCAGAGCTGTTGCCCGTTAATTGAATTTTCATTTCTCTACCATAAGCCGTCTCCAAAGGCGTTTCAAAGAACATCCCAGTTCTTGCATGGCCAGCATACTCACCGGACATGTCACCCATTGAGCATGTTTGGGATGCTCTGGATCGGCGTATACGACAGCGTGTTCCAGGTCCTGCCAATATCCAGCAACTTCGCACAGCCATTAAAGAGGAGTGGACCCACATTGCACAGGCCACAATCAACAACTTGATCAACTCTATGCAAAGGAGATGTGTTGCACTGCGTGAGGCAAGTGGTGGTCACACCAGATACTGACTGGTTTTTGGACCCCTCACCCTCAATACAGTAAAACTGCACATTTTAGAGTGGCCTTTTATTTATTAGTTATTTAACAACTAATTTTTAAATGGCTTGTTGTCAAGGTTGTTTAAGATCAACACGTGCAAGTGACCACTAGGTGTCAACGGGGAGCCTCGACACAATACTGCACGTTTGCTTCAACTGTTTCAGTGTTTCATGGAGCCTCGATTTGCCCACTACTACGAATGGCTGAAGCTGAAGGCAGACAACTTAAGGTTGAATTGTACAGGTATGTGTCTCTCAGGTGAGTGTCTCTCAGGTGAGTGGTCAGCTTTGAACGACGAGACCAGACAAGACCAGACAATGCGTGTGCATTAGTGACAGCTGGTGATGATTGTGGAATGCGTGCAGGTGGTGGACCAGGAAGGATTCTGGGAGATGTAGTGCTGAAGGTGACAGGGATTGTGACTTAGGATTGTGACAATTTTTAAATAACAAATTCTTTATTAATTAATTATTAATTAGTTTTGTTCAATACTTTTGTATTAAAAGAGGGCCAGCTATCCAAATTAATGAGAGTCTCATTCTTCTACTTTACAGACATAGGGCAGGTCAGATAGTTTGGAGGTTGTGTGTCAGAGAGTGAGTGAAATCATTAGCAATGTATCAGCAAGTGATTATTTCAACGAAACGTTAGCAGTGGGATGTGACAGGGGCAAAGAAAACAGACCTTCCAGGGCATGTTCATTTAGACATGATTGTGTGCTCACCAAACGGCAGTAAATTAAATAAGATCATTATTCCTAATCATCACTCACCAATAGGTTGATGACTTCACCTGTTTCCTCTGCTATTTTGAAATCCATTTCACATGTTATCAAACTCTGAGCACCACATGATTAAAAATTAAGGTCAAGGACACCTTTGCCCTTTGGCTTCCATATTTTTACATCCATAGTTTTCCATAGTTTTTTTTTTTTTTTGCTTTAATGACAGTTGCACTTGTTCTGGCATGGACAAAACCTGATGGTCCAGCATGATTTGAGAAAGTACCAAAGGGCATCTTGGGTCCCACTTTATATTAGGTATCTTTAACTACTATATGTACTAACATTTAAATTAATCATTTGATATAATGCACTTACTGTGTACATAAAACGTTTTTATATTTAAAAAAATACAGTAACAATGTATTTTACAATGTCCTTGTTGCATATGTTACATGTACTTAATATAGTATTAACGTCAGGGTTACTATTGTAACCCCTGTTCCCTGAAGGAGGGAACGTAGACGTTACGTCAGAACTGAACTGACGAATTGGGATCTCACTTTAGTCCAATCATCTTCGAGTTTAACTAAATGAGCCAATGCACATTGGCGTTTGAGATTTTCATCGCAAACTCTGCTCTGCGAAGCTATATTTCCTTATATAAGCGAGAGTGCATGCAACGCGCATTCAGGTTTGTTCTGAGACTATTGGATAATACTGGGAAAGCGTACCTATGGAAAGGGATGCTACGGAGACCACATATCATGTGGGAATTTACATATATATGGACTGGCCAACAGGGCAGTACTATATATGGAAGGTCCCTGGAGTAGTTTCCGGCCTAGTTAGGGGGTAATCAACACCGGCAGAGACTTCAAGGCATATGCGTGTCTCGTAGAGGGCGCTCTCGCTGAAGTGATGGTGTCTATCATCTAAGTCCTGTCCAGAGACCAAAAGTAGAGGTTACAGAGGTC